TTTTCACCTGTTCATGCATTTTTTTTTTAATGAAAAATAACTGTTTTCCAAAACAACAAAACAGGTCCGTAAGAAGAATGACATTTTTTTTTACAATATTGCAAATCTCTTAACATCGGGCATAAGAGAGCTGGATTCTCATATCTACTTCTGCATTCAATCTGTTGCAATATGTTGTTTTACTTGAAGTATATGAACAAATCTGGCCTCACATACATATGTAATTGGAGAGGAATATTTTAATAGCCTTTTCATTTAATAGCCACAAATGATGTGGATATTTTTCTTTGAGACTACACCAAATTTGACAAATGGTAGTGTCTTAAAGGTTGCTTGCAATCTGAAATCTGAAATCAGAGCAATGAAGTTTTTGGACTCTTGTAAATAAAAGTCTATTGGTCAGCCTTGTAGTTTGAATGGGTCTTTTCCCATGAATGCTTTTGTAATATGCACTAGTCATTTAGAAAATACTGTGTACCTTCCAAATGTTGACATATTTCTTTCATTTTTGCTGTTACCTGGGTATGTGTCCTGACTGGGAATTGAACCAGTGACCTCTTGGTTCCTAGGTCAATGCTCAACTGCTGAGCCACACTGGCCGGGCCAAACCTCCAGTCATTTAAAAAAAAAATCACAGGATGAAATGTACAGCATAGGGAAAATAGTCAATATTAGCATAATAACTTTGTATGTAACTTTGTTACTTGACTGATTGTGGTGATCACATTGTAAGGAATATAAATACTGAACCACTATGTTGTACACCTGAAATTAATTATTACATGTCAACTACACTTTGATGTTGTTGTTAATCCTCACCTGAGGATATTTTTTCTACTGATTTTTAGAGAGAGTAGAAGGGAGAAAGGGAGAGAGAAACATTGATCGCCTTGGCGTATTGGGGACAATGCTCTAACCAACTGAGCTACCCAGCCAGGGACAGTCTAGAAATTCTTAATAATGTTTTCTGCCTTTTCATTTTGCACTGGACCTGAAAGGTAATACTCCCTGAGCACCTACCTACTCAGTGCCCGGTTCTGGTGACTGAGATGACCAAGACCTACCTCCTCACCCCAAGATGTACGGTGACCTGAGATCCCTTCCTTTTGGGCCCTGTGTGTGCTTCATCGGACATTCCCCTGTGATTTGTTCACTCATTTTACCAACTGGATGATCTTGGATGAGTCAATGAAGTTCACCAGGCCTCAGTTTCCCCATCTGTACAGTGGAGCTGATGGTGATACCCATCTGTGCTGAAAAGATTTAATGAGCTAATCCAGGCAAAGCATTGAGCAGACACCTGGTACAGAGAATGCGTCCAGAAGGCATTAGCTGCTAGTGTTACACATGGTTTGATTGGCTAGACGCAGAACCTGGGGAGCAGTGGGCTGTGGAGGGCCTGGGTTCCTGACCACAGCTTCCTCCATCACTGCACAAATGCAAATCTTCACGCTCAAGCCAGGAATTGACCCCAGCTCGGCCCCTATGTGACCCTTGGCAACAGGCTTCTTTTCTCTGTGCATCAGGCCTCATCTGTGACATGGGAATAAGTATTGAGCACCCCCAGAGGGGGCCTTTAAGGACTGGAGATTATTCATTCATTCGTCAGGTAGTTCAGAGAACAGTTGCTAAGACCTACCTGTCTTAAGCCCAGAAGACAGTGCCGAACACAACAGGCCCAGTTCCTGCCTCCCAGAAAGAACCTCCATTACATTCCAGATCTTCCGAGTGTGTGGTTGAAGTATGGGGGTTTTTAGGAGAGTGTTTGAGAGGATCTGACCTGGGTAGACCTGACTTCTCTGAGGATAGGATGGTCAAG